CAATAGAAAAGCTTATATGGAAACAAATTATATAGCAGACATTACAAAAGCAATCTCCACTACAAAATAAGTGTCAGTTGAACAATGCAAATTAACAAGTGTATTGTTACGTGACAGTTTCTTTGCCGTTACATTTAAGCGAATTCCGCAATTATTCGTGCCGAAAACAGGACCGGACGCGTTGTGCTGAACGACTCCGACGGTTTTGCTGACAAGAAACGGCACCGTGTGAACTTTCTTCAGACGGTCGCACTCGTTTCGTACGTACCAGGCCGGCCGGCGCTCACTCATTTGCGAGACTGGCTTGCCCGGCTTCGTTGGATTCCCTCCGCTTGATGGATACGGCGCCCCGAGCGTGCTTCACTCCAGCCTCATTTAAAATAAGATTAAGGCCCCCTCCCGCTTGGCCTGCAGCAATACTTCTTTAATAAAAAATCCTCTCCTGCTGCTACATGTTACAAGTGTTCCTTATGATTCCATTTAGGTGTCTCCCGCACACTTTTCCCCAACTCTCCGACCTGGCCCCCACCACCACACCCCCTGCCCGCCCGTCTCCGACCGCCCTTCAGCCTCACCTCACCATGCAGCACTTCTCTTTTCAGTGCAAAGTGCAACTGCACTTTAATTAAGCATGCCCTCCTTTGTCTTCCGCTGTACCCTGTTGTGCGAGTGTGTGTTTGGGGAGCGGTGGTGTAGCGGTTAGCCCTCTGCGCTGCGAACCCGGCGACCCGAGATCAATTCCCGCTCACGGCCAACACCGGTGGTGATTATCTAAACCGGTCCTGGGCATCCGCTAGGTCAACTCAGCTTCAAAATTAATACCTGGTGTGGTGTGTAAACATCGTGTTGGCCTCACACCCCGTCGTGTGCCGTGCCGGCCTTCATAGGCGCTCGCTAACAGCACTTGCCACAACAGTCTGTTAAGGCTACAGGGGGGAATCTTTGTCTTTTTGTGAGTGCGTGTCGTTTTTATTTTGTCGGCCATTCAGACCCGGTGTGAGTTGGTCAGAAGCAGGAGCTTTCTCCTCCATGTCCCCGACCCTTCCCCGGCAGTCGTGTTCACGTTTCAACCTTCATCGTGCTCAGTTCACGACCAATCTTGTGTTGCGTTCGGTGTTGTTCCGCCGTCTTGCTCTCCCACTCTGCACCGCCGCGGAGCGTACGTAATGAAAACTTAGAAAAACCGCCGGGCAATCGCTCGCACGGCGGTTCCTTTGACTTGGTGGCCCCCTTCTTGTTCGGCCGGGGGGAGCCCGCGGGGAAGTCACGTCGGCGTGTGACTCGTCGTCGCCTGAGAAGGTAGCGATATCGATGTGGTACGCTCGCCTTGTTTGTAAACAAGTTGGTCGAATCTGCCTGTCGGCCATCTCGTATCAATAAAATAATAAGTACACGAAAACTCAACACACTCATCAACAACCACGGCCCTTGAAAGAAGAAAATATACAAGCGGAGACGTTTTAGGCATTGGCCCTTCATAGCACAAAAAAAGAACATTCAAAGTGTGGGGGAAGTCAACGGTCACCGTCCAATGGAACCCACTGGTCCCCGCCATGGGAATGTGGAATTTCCGCGGATGGAAGAGAGTGCCGCTGAAGTGGACGAGCGCCAGACCGCGCAACCCACGCATGTCTGCTCGAACGAATGGAAAAAAAATGTGGCTATTGAAATGAATGTGATCGCCGCTTCGCTAACAAGGACATATATTTGCATGGTTTATTTTTAAGATTTGCACAGTTGATATAGCAAATACATGCTCAATGAAAGTGGACCATTGTGAAGGAGTAAAATGGATTAATTTTTCGTGGTATGTTTGTCTAGATTTCACAAAGGCACTGTCTCCACAAAGACAAACATTTCATGGAACCGTCTAGGACATAATAAGATCGTTTGTTTTTTTTCTCTTCTTCCATGTTTGAACTCGTAGAGATTTATTTTTCATTTACAAGGACACGCGGGAGTTGCGAGTAAGGAGAGTTCGTTCGTTCAGTCGCGCTTGTCCTGGTGAGGTTCGCGGTGGCAGCATGTTGAGTAGTGGCAGTCCAGCATTACTAGACTATACACTACAATACACTACATTATACACTACTATACACTACACTATACACTACTATACACTACTATGCACTACACTATACACTACTATACAATACACTATACACTACTATACACTACTATACACTACACTATACACTACTATACACTACTATACACTACACTATTCACTACTATACAATACCCTATACACTACTATACACTACACTATACACTACTATACAATACACCACTATACACTACTAAACAATACACTACTAAAAAATACACTATACACTACACTATACACTACTATACAATACACTATACACTACTATGCACTACACTATACACTACTATACAATACACTATACACTACTATACACTACACTATACACTACTATACACTACACTATACACTACTATACACTACACTATACACTACACTATACACTACACTATACACTACACTATACACTACTATACACTACACTATCCACTACTATACATTACTATAAACTACTATACACTACACTATACACTACTATACACTACACTACTATACACTACTACACACTACTATACACTCCACACTACTACACACTACTACACACTACTATACACTACACACTACTGCACACTACTATACACTACTACACACTACTATACACACACTCCAGCTCTTCCTGGGGAATTCCCAGGCATTCCCAGGCCAGCTGAGCGACGTAGTCCATCCAGCGTGTGTCCTGGGACGTTTTATATTTTTTTTACATTTTTAACATTGCCACTCAACGTGTCTCCTTACTCAAGAGAGCAATGTGGTGGCAGTCGTCGTAGATTCCTTGGCCATTCGTTTAAGTTCCACAATTCCCTCAGGACAACCACTTGTCATCTTCCCGCAAAGCGGTTCTTATTTTATCGACTCCTAAGACGGAGTGGGGGGGGGGTGGGGTGATGGGCTGGGTCAACCCTAGCTGGGATTTGAACTCTTCCTCAATCTGTAATTACAGACTATTACAGACAGTTGCATTATTTGACCGTGCACAGACCAGCTTGGACGCATGGCAGTTTCTTGACGCCTCATAGCGGCCTCCTCGTTGGATTGTCTTCTACGTCTGCACACGATGGGGGTGCTTTGAAAAGGGCTTCATGGAGATGTAACATCGTCTTGTGCAAATTGACTCCCGTCACCTGCTACAAGCAACACGTATCAGCATGCTAAGCTGTCCCCTTGCCTGATTCTCAACACGTATCGAGTATCGCCGGTGCAAGAGGTAGCAGGCCAGATAGGTAGTGGCGGTGTGGCTAGTGTGCTCGACTCACGGTCAGAAAGGCATAAGTTCAATTCCCGGTTGCGGATGAACTCCGCCCGTCATCGCTATGACCTATCTTTAGTTTCGATGAAGGGGTACCACTTTTTGGGAAGGCAGCAGTGATTTTCGATTGGAAAAACTTAGCTCCCAGCATAGGAACGTGGAATTTCCACCACTTGCTCAGGGCTATAAACAGAGATGGGGACCACCCCATGCTCATTCCATTGTGGAGAAACTTCAACTTTCCAGGGCGGTGCTTGCACAATACATTTTAGTTCTCCAAATAAATGTAGCCTAATGACGAAGTGCGCCACGGTGGCGAGATGTTAACTACCTCGCCTGGTATACAGGATGTCGTGGATTCTATGTTGACCCTTGATGCCTGTCTATTTGGAGTTTGCATGTTTTCCCCGTGGTCGCGTGCATTTTTCTCCGCGTCCTCTGGTAGAATCAGCATGCGTTTAGAGTCTTCGGCTGCTATAAATTTTCACATGATGAGCCACTTCATTGAGCTATAATACCTGACCAGGTCGCTTCGGAAAAAGAGCCACATAGCTCAGTGGGCTTTGGCTGGTAAACTAGAAATAGTTTCGTTTGATAGTTTAGTAATGGAAATCGAGTATCCCTTAAACATCAATATAATCAACGTACAATGACAGACCGGATGGCGAATTCATGTTCAACGACTCATCGCGTAAGGCTCTGCCGTTTATTTTTGTCTGTGTAGCGAATTAGCACCCTGGCTACGAATAAATATTCATCGGTGCAAATACACCCGGCCGAACCTGCTTGTGTTGGTCGCATGCCATCGTATCTGTAATATCCCGTGCCGGGGGCACGGCACGTAACTTTTAATTCGCTGGCTTCGCCCCAGCGCGTGAAGCCCTTGTAAAAGTTGAACGTTAATAAGGGCTGTTTTGTAATCCTTCCTCCAGCGCAGATTGAAAATGTAGCCATGCGGGAGTTTAAAGCAATAAAGGAAAAGCCACGTGTGGTTCGCGGGAACGTTGAATGCTGACCGCCGGACAGTTGGGTTCTGGGTGACTGGATGTCCGCGCGGTCAGCGCCATCACCACTGGGCCAACGTGTGCCCCGAGTCGCCAGTTTGATTTCCGATGCAGCTGACTGTGAGATGTCGCATCTAACTTGACGTGCACGCAAGGCCCGTGAGCAGTGGTTCCCAACTTGTGGTCCGCAGGCCGGCCATCGCTGGTCGGCAAGGAAGTGGTCCACGGAATGCCAATTGCGAAGTCGTTTCACTTTTGAAAAAAATTCGTTGTTGCTGCACGGTGGTCTGCGAACGCGTTTTGAGAGTTGCCAGTGGCACTTGTGCCCCAGCAAGGTTGGGAATTGCCACAAAGTGTGAATTGCCACAAACGAACCGCAATTCCTTTGCTGATCTCGTTAAGGAACATAAACCATGAACCAGCAAGGTATTGTGGCTCGTTTGTGAACTCCAGACTCGAACCACCCATACCAGAATCTCACCGCTGTGTCAGCCAGTGCTCTGACATGGCACGACCCCTGGTCATCTCTTGATCTCATGTTGTTGATCACGGTGTGGAAGCCCGTCTTGTTGGGTTGATGATGGCACCCATCGGTCCCTGATGCATTCCCTGGCTCTGCCACCACCCCCCCCCCTTGCCCTCCCAGATTCTCCGGCAAAATCCCGCAGTCGAAGGATGTGGAGCCGCTGCTGGAGATCGACGGCGACGCACGCAGCTTCGAGGTGTTCCTGACGTCGCGCACACCCACGCTCACCGTGTGCGACGTGCGCACGTTCATGGCGTGCACCGTCAACCTCGACCCCAAGATCCGAGAGATCATCGCAGGTGAGAGAGCCACCGACGGGGGTCCGCCGCACGGTGGAGATCGTCGGCGCTCGCGCGCCGGTGGCCCCCCGCGGCTCGCGATCGCCGTGTCCTTTATTTTTGGATAGCCGGATCGAGACGCGTGAAGCTTCATTGGCCCTTTTACAAGGGCGGCCGGGGCCACACGGTCGATGATGCTGTTGCTTTTCTATGAAGACGATGCCGCTGGTGCAGTTTACGCTGCGGCTCAAGCTGCTGCTGCTGACGACGATGGCGATGTTTATGTGAATTAACCCTTTGCTGACATCGCTCCTATTGATGACAATGCTGCCGCCGATGACAACAGCGCCGACGAAGCCAACGTTAATTCTGGTGACAGAACGGGTGATGACGATTTTACGATATCGACGATGATGACCACGACGTTCATCATGACGACTGTCCCGCGATGACGGTGACCACCCTGGTGCCGGTGACCACCCTGGTGCCGGTGACCACCCTGGTGCCGGTGACCACCCTGGTGCCGGTGACCACCCTGGTGCCGGTGACCACCCTGGTGCCGGTGACCACCCTGGTGCCGGCACCACAACGCCAGAGGCGCTTCCGTTGACGCCGACAGCGCCGGCACTAACGACACGCACGCCGGCGGTGAACCCCCTCGCTCGCAGACGTTCAGGCGGCACAGGTCGGGGCGGCGAGCGCCTCGGTGTTCCCATCGGCGACGGTAGCGGCTCCCGCTGCCGGCATGCCGCACTCGGCGTCGGGCGTGAGCGCGTCGGGCCGATCGTCGGGCCCGTCCGGGGCGGGCACGCCGGCGCCCTTCGCGGGTGGAGGAGGTCTCGCGACGCAGCCGCCCTCCTGCTCGTACTTTGACGGCGGCATGGGACCCCAGCACCCCTTCTACAACCGGGTGAGCTCGTTCTCCCCCGTCCGTTGCCGAATCCACCCCCCCACATGCTTGGCGAGTGCTCGGCGATGGAGAGAACACGCAAGTCTCGCAGCGGAAACGTTGCGCGCGGTGGGAATTTATTTTGCTCAGTTGGCGTTAGCTGCTGTGGTTGTAACAGGTTTCTTTTTTTCATTCCTGTTGCTCTGTGCCCCCCCGTACCGTACCGTTCTCATTCTGCTGTTGATGTGCACCGATGACTACTTGACGCACACAAAATTAAGATTGAGTGATCGATGATTGAGAGTCGGTGTCTGCCTGCTCAGAGGGAGCATGGGGGCATCGCTCGCCCCTATAGGTGGTGACCCTTTAACAAGCGGTGGAAATTCCACGTTCCCACGAGGGTTCTGCCAGTCTCGCCGTGTGGCGACCACCGTTTGATGATGTCCAACAGGGGTGTTGTTCCCCACTTTTTGTCTCGGAGAGAATAGTGATGATGGATGATGTTGATGATAGTACTAAAAATGATTGTATAGCTCAACTTTTACAAGTTGTTCCCATGTGCTTTATAGTCTAAACAAAGTACAAAACTGTAAAACTAAAATATTTCAAAATTTAAAAAAACGTAACTACAAAAATATATAAAGAATTGAGTTAGCTCAGGAGCAGGATTCGAACTCAGTTTTCCGATGTGGTGAGTCACGCACCTGGACCCACACCTCCTGTTCCCTGCAATCGTGCAAATCACTTGAGTGAGGGCCTCAGTCACGATATTGAATTGAGCTCAATTCAGTTATATGAATGGCCCCCTTGATTTTATCTCCCTATCAGGCCAGGTGGCGTAAGTTGGCAGGACCCACGATGGACGACGATCCGGGAAGGTTGGAATAATGTTCATAATCTTATTGTGGGTTGATGAGCTCATCATCCATGTGGTTCTTGTTAAATTGAGTACCAATCACCAGTGGTCACCCTATTGTGAAACTGGCCCCTTATCAAGAATGTGCAATGCCACAAACAGAGGCGATGACTGCCGGGTGCTTGTTCGAGCATTCAGACAAATAGGCGTTGGCTTTGCAGTGCGCTCTTATAGTGATGCTTCTTAGAAACAATGTGCGGTTTATTTTAATGCGGTGCGTTTTACTCCTTGCCTTGAAATGTCGTTTAGTTTCTCGGTCAACAGGTTGTGAAAATAGCCACTGTGGGCAGGCCTTAGCGTGGGTGACACGGATGAACGTCACGTTCAAAAAGGGCTCCATCAGCAAGCCATACTCATCTAAGCACTGCCGTAAATGGCCAGTGTTATCCATCATTGCACTACACCCAAGTCTTGGGCAATGTGGTTAACCATAGTTAAGTAGGGGATGTTTGTTTATTTGTTTAACTTTTACACTTTTCTTTAAGTTACTGTAATTGTAAACTTGCCGATGCGGGATAGGACTCGGGCGTGCGACAGCCTGCTCGCTGCGAATGACATAACGCGATGTCGATTATCCACCTTCGCGACTGGACACCAAATGCTCACGAGGCAATCGGGGGGGAGGGGGGGTGCCAGTATTCTGGGGCCCGTGTGAGCCTGGCATACTGCTGTGTGCCGGCGGAGCTAATGAGGAAACGATAAAACCTCCCCCCCCCACCCCAAGTGTGTTTTGGTTAACCAGCTAGTGACCCTGTTGCATTCATCTCCCAGGAGGGGGGGCTATGTACGTGTGTATGTGTGTGTATGTTGAACTTCTTTCGCACCATACGTAGACAACCATGCTCATCGGAGGTGCGGCGGAAGGACAACAAGCTGAACACAAAAAGCATTTCTAAAGACACAAGTTGTCAGTCGAGATGATTTAAAAGTGTGTAGCCCCCAGTGGCGTCCTCATATCGGAAGAGCGTTCCAGATGGCCGCAGAAGCGCGTCTGACAGTGCGCAGTAAGGTGACCGTCTTTATTTGATGGTTAGCCAAAAGCCACTGTGAGGATGACTGGAGTGTGCGTGATGGTTCATAATCCTTGACGATATTGCTTATATTTCGATTTAAAGCTTTCGTGACTGCAGGGATTCATCTTCTTGGTTTTTTCGGTAAAGTCACCACGGAGAATGGAAATAAAATAATAAAAATAAAACATTATAAAATATTTATTATTTTATTTCCATTCTACGTGACTTTACCGAAAGAACCAAGACTATGATATTGCTTATGTATGTTGTAATGAGGTGGGAAGAGAGCTAGGTGGGGGTTTTAATGGGTTCCATGGTGTCGCAGCATCGCTTCAGAGAGACAGAACCCGTGTAGCAGGTTCGGCATGGAAACACGATTCTCGCGGTGAAATAAAGAGGCGAGTGCCACTGGTGGATTTCTAGATGACAGCCCTGGCCATATATAGATGTACCAGCAGGAGAAGCAGAGGCAACAGATAGCACCGATGAGGTCACTAATGAGATGCATCGTAGCGTTTGATTGAATTCCACCAAAAAAGCATCCGTGTCAATGTTAACACACTGGCCCAGATGTATATGCATTACCATGGGGCAGACGAATGTAGGTTATTTGAGCGAGAGTCTCATAGAAGAGGTGCAGAGTTTGAATCCCTTTTGCTTGTTTCGGCAGCAACAGCACCTACTGCGATGATTCTTTCTGACGCTACTATTTTAAACAGTTTTTTATTTCACCAGGAAGGCGCGCTGAGCTATGTAGCTCTTTCTCGGAAGCGACCTGGCCACAAATGATAGCTCAATGGGGTTGCTTGTCATGTGGAATTCGATATCAGCCAAATACTCTTAAATACACGTTTCTCAATGTGGAGGGAAAAACCGGAGGCACCCGGAGAAAAATCCACACGATCACGGGGAGAGAGACACGCTAACTCCAACTATACAGGCATCAGGGTTGGGATCAAACCCACGACCTCCTGCATACCACGCGAGACAGTTTACATCTCGCTACAGAAGCAAGCACGTGCGCTCGGTTACCGGCTGTAGAAAGTTGAGAGGTTTGAAGTGAGGGTATTTGTCTTTGGGCGGGGGGGGGGGAGGTCTCGATGAAGAGCCCCTGGCTTTGTTGGGTGATTGTCGTTTGTGCACAGGATCTAGAGAGGGTAACCTTCCTGCCTGTGCAACCAACCACACCGCGCAAAGCGCTCGTGACCTGTGGCTTTGGGCTGCCTGCTGCAATTAACACATATTCCGTCGTGGGGAAAACACTTTGGACATTTAGCCTTTGTGTTCGTGGATATTCATTGCATATCCCCCGCACTTTCGATTAGCACGGTTGGCTACGTACGGCGCGAAAGAAGTTCAACAATCATACGCCAACGTACATGCATCACGGCCAGTGAAAAGTACACGGTGTGTTCCTCGTTGGCTTAAACAAAAAAAAAACTTCATTTATTTGCACGTCTAACAGACTGTCACCTGTAAAGCCAAAGATAAACTCTTAACATTTGTACATATATATATAAAAATGTATGCACGCACGTTTATAGACAGGTGCCCTTGTTAGCTGTTGGCGGATACATATTCCTGCGCGGTTGATTGATTCCATTTCTGTCACCGTCACTCCTATTCAAAGAAAAGTCCGTGCGTGCAGAGTGAAGCGAGTGATTTCCGTGCCTTGTCAACGGCGCACCGTGACCAATGTAAGTGGCTGGGACACCCTCGTGAATGTGGCTGTGTATATGGAGAGCGGTGGCACAGCGGTGGGCGCACTGCGCTTACGGACCGGGCAACCCGAGTTCGATTCCCGCTCACGGCCACCACCGGTGACAAATGTTTGAACCGGTTTTGGGCCTCCTCCACTAGGTCGACTCAGCCTCAAATGAGTACCTGGCGCGGTGTGTAAACATCGCCACTCAGGAGACCAAGGTGGTGCTGGCCACCCACCCCCTCGTGTGCCGTGCCGGCCTTCATATGTGCTCGCTAACAGCACTTGCCCCAACAGTCTGTAAAGGCTATAGGGGGGATCTTTGTATACGGTGTGTCTCAAGCCAGTGTCTTCCTGCTAAGACTAGAATGGGGCAGACAGAGCTCATCTGCAATTCGCTGCCCTCAGCCTGTAATAGAAATGGTAGGAATTGGTGGTTTGAAATTCCACATTCTTTCGGCAAGTGGGAGAAGAGAGGGGTGGGTAGGTGAAAGGGTCTTCAAAAGATGGTCACTGTTAATCTCTGGGGAAGGAGCACTGATTTGTTTGACCCTGGAGGATTTATGAGTTGAGTCGAACCACGGCCGAGATTTTTACTTGCAGCATCCTTCATATTGGAAGATATCCATAGCTCCAGGGCGCTGTGGATTAGCTTCTGAATGTTGTGTTCACGTGTTGAAATCTGGTCTCCGACCACAAATTATTTAGTTACAGGTGTAATTCCATTCATGACATTTCATACACTTCACGAGCACTAATGTTGACACACAAGCTGGGAAAAAAACAATGTGCCACCATTATTGTTAACAATAGCCGCATTGTGCACCTATATTTAATGACTATTTCAAAGGAAGGACCATTGCCAATTCATTATACATTGGTCTACAATCCACTGCCGTGAGTTAATCTCCAGGTCAGGTGGCGACTCGACCTATCATCCTTCTGGAGTTGAGAAAAACCAGCCACACTTTGTGGGAGGTCACTTTCGTTTCAAACTTTCCTCATCCCAAGGAATGTGGAATTACCACCTCTGGCTTTGGGCTGCCTGCTGCAATTAACACAAATATTCCGTCGTGGGGAAAACACTTTGGACATTTAGCCTTTGTGTTCGTGGATATTCATTGCATATCCCCTGCACTTTCGATTAGCACGGTTGGCTACGTACGGTACGAAAGAAGTTCAATGTACGTACGCCAACTTACATGCATCACGGCCAGTGAAAAGAACACGATGCAAAATCACATGCCCAAAGTTCCCTTTGCAACCGCTACGTTGCCTTCTTTGTGCCCATGCTGTGTGCACAATGCTCTGTCACGTTGTCATCCCTGTCAACCCATTGTCAGTGCCTATCTTATTACAGACCATTTCAGACCTTATTGGTCACCCGGTGCCCATATAAATCTCAACGTTCATCCTACAAAGTCCCATCACATAGGAGAAACACGAAAAAATTGAAGAAAGGAAAATAAAATGTGCCCGTATTGAAACGGCCGTATGCCATATGGACCTGAACACTAAATTTCCCTGCACAAGAATACGGGCAAATCGTTTGGGTTGACAGGTACGCGTTGTTGTTGGGTGCGGTGGCTGCCGTAGTGAGTGTCTTTTAGGGGGCATCACCCCCGCATACGTTTGGCCCTGAACCCAGGGCCTGGCCTTGCTCCAGGCTGACGCGAAAAACCGAGCGGAGCCACAGAGGAGACGCCCTACTCGTGCAGCCGCACGACGCATTTCCTAATCGGATGGCGTCTGTCGCTCCCAAAAAACTGGGCTCGGCACGTTTCTTACAAATGGCGCGGAACCGAACGACAAACACCGGCGACATAACACTGCGCAACACGGTCCTTAAAGCTTGAATGCAAACGACAGGTGCATCAGGTGTGTTCCCAGGTCTGCACCGCCGTACGTTACGGATGCCATCTCTGAGAGAGACGCTCACTAACTGTGAACTGGCTTTACCGCTTGCCTATTGTTGTTGTTGTTGTTGTGATTCAAGTTTTTGATTTTTCATTCATTATTTTTCATTCATTCACTTGCGCTCTTGAGCGTGTTCCATCGTCACGTGTTTGTGCTTGTCGTGTGCACGCTTGTCCCCCGTCCCTCTTCTCCCCCCGTAGCCATATTTCACACCCCAGTCGTATTTGCCGTTGGCGGCCACTCGCCCGCCCACTGAGCTGCGCCTCGCTGCTGCTGCTGCTAGGCCCGCCATGTCCCGCGACCACACTAACTTGCCTGTAAGTACCCGTCGCTTCAACCAAGATTGCGGTGTGCCGATGTCGTCATTGTTTACTGCAGTGACAGCCAGGGGTGGCGAGATGTTAACTACCTCGCCTGGTATGCAGGAGGACGTGGGTTCTACCCTGACCCTGATTCCTGTATATTTGGAATTTGCATGTTCTCTCCGTGGTTGCATGGATTTTTCTCCCGGTCCTCAGATTTTTCCCTCCACATTTAGAAAACACGCGTTTAGACCATTTGTGTGCTATAAATTTGCACACGGTAAGCCACTTGGTTGAGCTATCATTTGTGGTCAGGTCGCTCCCGAAAGAGTGCTATATAGCTCCGTGGACCTGACCTGGTATGATAAAATAAAAACTAGTTCCGTGTAATAAATTATTCCAACAGTCTCCCTCCTGTATTCATGCATGAAGCAAGCATTTGTTAATGTGGGCGCATTGCACCATTACTTAAGCCACCCAACGATGACTTTTCCACAGTGGTTCCGTGTGTTCTGAGATGACTGATGAGCCCGATACGAGAGCCGCAGACTCTGCCACAGGTGGGGCAGTAGGTGCTAGACGGCGCTTCTGAAAAATAATCTAATAGCTGAGTGGGCTTGACTTGGTAAAATAAAAAATACTTTAGTTTTATTTGTATTTTTTTGGTGTGATTTGCTTTCCTTTCCTATACCTTGCACTCCTGTCGTGTTTTCGTATTGTTGATGTAAAGTTCCGACACCCCACTGCTGGGCGTCTGTGCAAAAGAGCTTCATAGCTCATCGGATTCCACCTGCATGAATAAATATTTTTATTCTGGGTGGATCGAGCTGCGGGGGGGGGGGCGCTCCTTTTGCTGCACCCGTTTTAGCTTCCACATGCGCTTTGCCGGTGAGACATGAGCAGCACAGTTACACAGAGGCCGTATTACTCTCGGCCGGCAAACTCCGCTTTCAGCGGCGCCACGGTGCGCGGAACAGGAACAGGAAGTGGCCTCCCGATTGGCTTGCTCACAATCGCATGGGTCAGATGGACGCGTGCGATTGGTTGGTTGTGTGCTTGCCGCTTGGGCTGTCGCACGCCACGCTGGTTGCCGTGGGACTGCTGTGTGTGTGCTATGATGGGGGGGGGTGGGGCTGGCTACGGTCAGTGGATTGTTTTTAGTGAAGGGACTGCATTCTTACGTTTTGGGCAGGTACAGCATCTGATCAAAGTATCATTTTGCTCTTGATGCCCTGCTTCTAGGCAAAGCTGCAAGCTTTTAACCCAATAAAGCTTCCGTTTGGCTTGTGTTTGCGTCAATCCGTTTTTGATATTTCCATTGAGAAGTATGAAAAATAAGTTTAACAATAAAAATTACATTAACTCGCTGTCTCTAGGGGCCACTATAGTCTTATTAATGCATTATTTTACACGTTAGTTTATAGTATCATCCTGATTATAATTGCCTGTGATTGGATAGAGTCCAACACTTGGAGCGTATTTCTTTACAGCCTGACTCAAGCCTATTCACTGCATCCTAAATACGTTCATACAATTTACTACTCTAATGAGCCAAGAATGTCTGCGTTGTCCCGCCCGTGATGTCACTCCACGTCGACCAGCCCCCCTTATTAATACTCATAAACAAGTTACATCCTACACATGGACCCCCCCCCCCTTCATTAATAATCATGAACAGGTGACGTCACTCCACATGTAGCATCCCCCTCATTAATAATCATGAGCAGGTGACGTCACTCCACATGTAGCATCCCCCTCATTAATAATCATGAGCAGGTGACGTCACTCCACATGTAGCATCCCCCTCATTAATAATCATGAGCAGGTGACGTCACTCCACATGGGGGGGCGTCATGATGAACAAGGGATTATAACCTTTAAATGAAATAAATCCGTGTCACCGCGGCCTTACAAATTGCACACGAATTGATGCAATGAATATCACGTCGCTTGCAAGTTTCAGATTTAATGAAATACACCCGTCCTTGGACGGGCAAAAGTCGAGTAAAATATCAACTTAGCAATCATTGGAAGGATTTGATAAACCATTTCGGGTCTTAATTGATTGTTCACGCTTAAGGTGGCTTTCAGACCGCATCCATTAGTTTCGTCTCCCCCCTCCTCTTTTCCGAACATAGATGGACTCGTCCATCTGAATAACTGCCAAATCGCTCTCCGTGGTGCTAACGTTTGAAAAAAACCCGCCACTTTTTTCAAATTTTCTTGCTGTGGTTTTCACACCTGATGATGATTGCTTGTGTTGCAGTCGAAACGTCGTGAGAATTTTATTGTTTTATATTTTTATTATTTTATTGTTTCCCTGCTACGTGACTTTACCGAAAGAACCAAGAATATGAATCCCTGCAGTCACGAAAGCTTTAAATCGAAATCTAATTTACTTTGTTCACGTTTGGGAATGAGAGAGGTTTTCGGGAGGGACGTATCAATTTTCCGACTGACTTATCTTGACCTTAAGGACACCTATTTAAATAAAGAAGTGAATAGCAAACCCGCTCTTGTCTTCATGACCGATCATACGAGTGGTTGGTTAGAATACGATGTCTCAAAGAGTTACGTTAAGTCTGTCAGTTTAAGTGTGCGAGACCGCAATTCCACAATTCCGCACACCACGTGTACATCGGGCAGGGAACGTTCTTTGAATTCATGATCCCCGGGAGAATTTTTCCATTGGGTTTTTTCCTTACATTTCCATTTTTTGTGTTCATTTTGGTGCATTTAATTGTTACCTTTCAATTGAGAAAATGGCACGTTTAGGAACATCGCATTTAAATAACCGAAATGTGCGCGGTTATTTAAATATGTAATGTAACATTTTTTTTCGTAATTAATGTAGCAGCGGCAAAGTGATTAGTTCACTGCACTCCGAACCCTGAAACCCGAATTTGATTCCTGGCCACAGCTATCATCAGTGCCAAGTGATATCTGAACCGTTCCTAAGCAGTTACTTTTACCAACCCACATTGACAGCATGATCAAGTATTGTCAAACAACCACCATGACTAACATGGCATAGGGAAGCCAACACCCAGCAATGAATTAACAAAGGGCTGTAAAGTATTACAATATTACTTTAATGTATGTAACAGATCAACTTTTTATGGGTGATTAAATATGTGACAATGCGAATACATTTATAGTGTGGGTATGTGGGTGCGTGTGATTGCCGCGCTGCACTACGAACCCCGCAAGCCGAGTTCGATTCCCCCTGAACCGGTCCTGGGCCTCCGCCAGGTCGACTTGACCTCAAATGAGTACCTGGTGCGGTGTGTAAACCTCGCCACTTTTTGGGGACAAAGGTGGCCGGACGTGGTGCTTGGCCACCTTTTGTATGCCTTGCCGGTCTTCATAGGTGCTGTTCCTGTAACAGCCATTTCCCCAACAGTCTGTTCAGGCTCTACGGGAGATCTTTATCTTTGGCTAAGAGGGTGCCAATGCCAATTTCGGGTTCCACCTGGCGCCGATATTTTCAGCTGTGTGCACATGTCGTTGCAATGGGAAAGTGAATTCGTAGAAGCCACCGGCCGGGCTTGCCCACCCCTCACTCAGACCAACGGGGGCGAATGTGTGTTTGACACAGAGGTTCGGCCGGTGACATTTGGATTGAAGCGAGCAAATAAATAAGCTCTGTTTGCTCCGCTCGCTGCCGGCAGTGCAACCTCTTTGCTGTTCTCTTTCCATTTGACTCCCCTGCCACGTCTTCACTTGCACATTGTGCCAGAATGTGTTGGGAGCCCAAAAACATGATTTGAATTTACAGGAGTCCCACATTTTTTTTGGTGCCAATAATTTTCGGCTTGGTTGACTCGTTTTCAAGGAGGTTTTTTTTTTGCCTTCCCTACAGTGAGGTACTACTCTTGACAGACATTCCACATTCCTATGAAAAGGGCCAGTCATTCTTTGGGATAACCACTGTTAACTTGCTTCAAAGTGTTGCTCAATGGGCTCAGTTGACCCACCACCCTGCCCCCCTCTCACCAATATATTACTTTGCAGATTTCCTGTTACGAGTCAAGCACCCCGCATATGCATATTTGAACAGATGTTGAGATAGTAGCTTTATATAACTTCAAACTTCCCCAGTCTCCCTTGCAAAGAGGAGTACAAGGTACATTCATAATGAATCCATTCTGGCTGTCACCCTGAAAGCTACGGAGGTAGACAACTTTTGTGACCAGTTGAGAGCCCGTCGAGACCAAAAGTCTCTCCTTATATATATAAAAAAATGTTTTGGTAAAATAACAGCGTAAAAGTACGTGGAGTAGAATAAAAAACAAATTGATGGGAGGCTCGGCTAACGGTCTGGGGCTTGCCAGCTTGCCTTTTGGCTGCTGTTCTTGTATCAAGGACACGCAACGTGTCACGTCAACTTGTTTGTGTCTCTGCGTGGCCCTGAGAGCCGTACGCCGTCTGTTGAATTGCGAAGTCTCCCTCTGGGGGAGCCCTTGTCATCTCGATTCCCTTTCAGTGAACCGTTGCAGGCAGACGCTCCCAACGCTCTCTGCCCGGTCTATTTTCCTCCTAGTCTTTTTTTTGGGAGCGGGCGCCTCGACTTGGACGACATTGCGTCGAAGTCGTCGAAGTCACGGCTCTCTGAGTCGAAAAAGTTGCCCTGGTTAATGTCGGCGATGGCACCGCGCCTCGCCATCGCTTCCTTCCTTCTGCCAGATTCCCTCAGCTTGTTCCACAGTCGACACGTGACTTCCAAGATCCGCTATTACAGTGTTCCACCAACTGGCCCTAAGACTTACTCTTGGTCGCTGATCTTATCTTAACTGAATGTGATTCATATATAGCGCCCTTAACCAAGGCACTTTGCTGTGAATTAATAACGGTGGTACATATGAAGGTAATGGTGGAGATGAGGTGAATAAAATAGATGAGAGGAAGCAATGGGGGCAAATCCGTGACGTGTAAATTCGGTGAAAGCGAAACTGATGACAGTAAATGACGAATGGAGTGAATGAATGGAGTTGATGAGTGATCGCCATGTAACG